TGTTTTGATTATTGGTTGTTTGTGACGTTGTCATCAAATTGTCATAGTGATGAGAGATATCAGAGATGAGAAATGAATCATTATTTGCTGCTTTATTTAATAACTTGTGTGCCTTTCCATATATTCACTTCAATATGATATTTGAAATTTTATTAATTTTTTGTTTGCATATCATGCTTATATGTTTTGCAGTGGAGATCCGATTTTGATCGGGATGGCTTCTGGGATTGGCCATCTGATTGGCCTCGAATGGATGCTGTAATGCCAAGGGTATGCTATCAAATTTAATTCAAACATTCAAATTCTTTGCTGATTTGGTAGTTTTCACTTTAAATAACAAACTGAAATAACTCAGAAGGAATGAAAGGAAAGAGAAGAAAATCAAATATGTCACATGTTAAACTGCAAAATTGTATTTTTTTGGTTGGAACTATTTTTAAACAAGTAGATGCCTTCCTTTTAATCTCCAGTGTATATCGATTTATCATGAAATTCGGAATAAGTTGCGCCTAACATTTGAAACTTCATCAATTTTTGTCACAACAACAATGATCTTACACTTATAAGTTATTATTAAAGTTAGCTTTCTTCAAGAGATACTCTTATGCCTTATCTGTTACGAATAATATAAGACAACATAAATCAATGTGAATTTGAACTATTTCTTTTTTAGAACTAGATGAGATTTTAACTTTGAAATTTCGCAGTTAAATTCTTAAAATTTTCAGTTTTCCTCACGTCTTGATCGCTTGGATCGTAATTGGCGTTCCGATCCGTTTTGGCGTGATTTATATCCACGTTGGGCAGAACCAATTTTCAAAGAAGGTATCGATATTCGCACGAATATTATCAATGATGCGTCACGTTTTATTGTAGAAATTGACGCATATCAATTTCGACCGGAAGAGATACAAGTTTGCTTCTTAGTTTCATTCGAATTTTTTTCAAAAAATTAAAAATGATTGTAATTCCAAAAATAAAAAAAGTTTCTTTAAGCAATTTCTTTTGAACTCTTGTATTTTACTATATTTTTTGCAAGTGTTTCGAATTTCCATTGTGGTGAAAAATTTAAGTTCTGACGAATAATTGTTAAAAAAAATTTCGAGTAATGTTGAAAATCTTAGGATAATTGCGTTTCTTACAATCTAATATATTAACAGAAAATGTTGCGTATTTGAGGTAAAAACAATAGATGATACGTTGTTGATCGAAGGTCGACATGAAGACGTTCGTGATCGTGATAATTTCACAAAGATGTATTTCGTGCGGAAGTATCAGTTACCGCTGGACGTAAATCCTATGGATATCTCAAGCACCATTGACAGCACAGTTAGTTTTGGTGACTAAATTGTTCCGAAATATCATTTTCATCGCTATTTATCATCAATTAATCCATTGTTTGCTTGCAATCATTAAATTAATCATTACGAATAACAATCAATTTACGCAGAGAACGACGTGTATTATTTCAGAGATCTCAAAGCCTTTTCAGTTTTTAACGAAAATTTTTTCTTATTTTTAATCCTATTTCAAATAAAATTTAAAAAAAAAATGAAAAATCAAAAATTGGATAAATTTATTGCAAAAGTGATAATGGCAAAGTATTTTAAATAATGAATTTTAAAAGCAATAAATACCCAATGCTCAGTTTAAAGAATAATTTGAATTCGTTAATCATTGTTAATCAGTAAAATGACAAGCTTATCAACTCATTAACTAAAATTTTCAACGCACACTACCTTATAGGGTCGTCTATTTGTTGAAGCAAGAAAGCAGCCACAAGTTCAAGGACGTGAACGTATGACTCCAATAGAAGGACCGTCACGGCGTACACAACGAAATGATGGTACACGGAGTCATGAAGATTCTGGTATTATATCAGTTATCAATTTGTTTTGCGTATTATACCTATGCAAAAAGAAGATAGAACGAAAAAGGAAAAAGGATATATATTTCAATTCTTCAAATCTCAGATGGTCTTTTTGGAAAAAAGATTTAGCAGATAGGGTTTAACTTAAATCATTGGAGTTTTTGAATTTGTTTTTTTACAGGTTCGTATGGGTCGCGTGTGCAGCAACAATCAGCACCTAATCACCGTTCACATAGCTCTTATTCTTATCAGCACAGTCGTACCACTAATGACTCACCAACTGGTACTTATCATGAACACAGTGTTCCAATCATTGAAACCGGAAGAAGTTCGCGAGCAGGTAAAAGAAAAACTCCCGGTTGCTACATTTTAACAAATACAACTTGTTGTAACATGGAGACCCTGAACTCCAGCTTATTTGTGGGAACCAATGGATTTTGAGGCTTAAGTTTAAATAGCGTTGGGAAAGCGCTTACTTTCATCTCCCCTGTCAGTTTATGAATCACTGAAGTTTCAAAATCTTTATAATTTATAAGGTAAGATTAAGCAAAATTCGTTGTGAAATCTCAGAAAATTGCTTAATTAGTTGAAAGATCGGAATCATAGAGAACCTTATCCACAACTGCTGAAATTTTAGAAGAATTTCATTCCCATGAAAGACATAAGCGTGAAGAGCATCGATCGGAATCCAAAAATGATTATCGCAGTCAATCATCCAGACAGGATAGCGGTTTCCATGGCAGTGGTTCCTTATCCATCCAACAAGATAGGGGCCCACGAAACGGTGATATAAATTCCAACAATGTTCGCAATGTGCCGATTCTTCGAAAAACATTTAAATAAACTCAAATTTCTAAATACTTTGATATAATATAAGCAGAATCCAAGCATGGAAGAGGCAAATCTTTTTTTGAGGGGTTACAATTCAATAGAAATAAAAATACATTTCTGAAAATTTTTATATATACATACACTGTTTTAAAGTAATTTTCACTAAGTCGATTTCAATCTGGTTAAGTAGGAATAGAAATATCACCATAACTCATTATCTACATAATTTTTCTGAAGTCTATTTTCAACAGGTAAATCATAGCACCCAAAAAAATATGAAAACGTCAAAAAGATTAAAACTGGATATGTCGAATCTGCTCATTTGTTTAACGTATCATCTTTTACTTTCAATACCGTTAAATTAGCGGTGGCTTTTTGATTTATTCTTATCGATTATTATATTCAAATATACATAATTGCTTCTTGTAATGAAATAAACCTTTCTTTATTTAAAATATACACTTCTTACAGAAGTTGAAATATCTATAAAACGTGACCTTCCCGAGTAGTATAACAAATGAACATAACACACTATCATTTTGTATCCTTCACGAAGGAAGATTCCTTGAACTACGATAAGATAGGTACGAGTGTAAAGATGATTACTAACACAACAATACAAAAGCTTAATGCAATAACACGGTATATGTGTTACGAGCCAGAAAGAAGTTCCATCAACATTTTTTTGAAAGCAATTATCAACTGTTAAATATGCTGCATACACTTCTGTTCTGTAAAATACTGCACGAATCATACCCTAATCATATGTTGATGTAATGATCCATTTTGTATTCCGTGTGCCATGAAGTAAATTTCATCGCACATAATTCTAAATATGTAGAGCGGTATAACACTCAATACATAAGTAACTATTATATAAGCAAAACCTGTCCTGTACAAGTTAGTTGTTTAGAAATATTTAAGAATATTGCAGTAAATTATACAAACAATCTGCAGTATTTTTTTCCGAAACATGAGTTATTACATAACATCATAGTTCCAGATTTTTCTGATCAAACTGCTTGTTTAACCAATTCAACTCAAAGCAACAAGCTTTCTCAAAGTAAAGTATAACAATAAATTTTCTTCGTTAAAAGACAAACATACAAAATTCTAAAATAACAACATTAAACTGATCTTTATATAATGAGGTATTCACATCAAGAAATATCAGACCATAAAATATGCTATTGTAAACGGCAAATTCTGTTCATACCTACATCATAAGAAGCAAGACTACCGTTTCCCCTAGAAACGTAAGAACCATACTACAGCACTGATACAGCAGTTAACACATTCATTTCAAAGAAATCTTTGTGAAGTGAATGAAGCAAAGCGGGAATTAAGTTGCCCACAACGTTCCTTGATCGCATCAGCACTTAAATTTCCTGCCCGTCCAAATGTATGATTCTGAAAACAACATAAAATGGCTGCTTCTGATATTAATTCAAAAAAAGATTTATTGTATTCCTAAGAAAATTTAAAGCGACGATTCCAGAACAGAAGCAAAAATAAATAAGAGAAAAATGAAATTTTAAAAATTGCTTACGTCTAAATCCTTATTTCGGTCAAATGGTCGTCGTTCTGTTACAACTACTCCCTAAAAAATAATAATTTGGAAACTCAAATACACTGAAATAATGGAAAAAAATTGCGTGCCTTATCGCACCGTATTTTAATGAAACAAAATCTAATTCATTTGGAAAAGATAGCACCAAAACAATAATACAACCGAATCATACAACAGAAAGTCATCTGGCATGCTATTTCTTACAATCATTTAAAAAACTCTACATTTTCATCGATCTCATGTTTTCGCTTTCTTTGGTGAATATCCAGCAATGACTCTACACGATCTTCCTGCAAAAGAAAAAAACTAATCAAACAGCGAAATCGACAATAATCTGTAATGTTGTATAATCAAATAGTATAATATAACAATTTAAACAATGTGTCGTAAAGAAATCTATAAAATTCATTTACGTCATACTATCTGAAATAGCGATAACATTTTATCAAAATATCCGGCAAAAATTTAGTAAAAAACAACTCAAACAATAGAGCAAATATCAGAAATCATAAACATACTTCCAAAGCCGATATACATTGAGTCTGAATAGCATCAGAATCTCTATTACACTGTACTTCAAAAGACAGCCCACTCGGTCCAGCACAAGATGAATCACCTCGCTCCTTTAAAATAAAAATTTAGATGAAACTGACAACTTAATGAAGGATAAAACCTTTTTTACCTGCATGTAAGAAAATGTGTAAAGAAAATAAGGTTAAGTTGATAAAAATTTTAAAGCAGCATTAAACAATGCATTCATTCATAAGCTCTATGAAGGGAAACAAAAACGGATGATAATCATGGCAAACACATTAATATACGATTATTCAGAAATTACAATTAAAAAAAATCTTAAGGAATTTTATAAGGAAGCAATCGTTACCAATCGCTTTTTCCTTTCTGCTGGAGTTTCCGTCCATTGAAGCCTTGCTTTTTCAGCTGCAGCGGAGTCATTCTTTAATGAAAATGTTTTGGTTGACAAACCATAAGCACCGAAACACTTCGGTGGTTGCGTCATCCATTCTGGTCGTTTGCATGCAGATCTCTTAAAAACATAACTTTTCAGATTTGTTAAAAAAACACACTGCTAAAGCAATACTGTAAATTCTTTCAGTATCTATCGATAAAATTCATTACCTTACTCGCTTGTAGCATCTCCAGACGCACTAATCTCTCCGTATATTCATCGTCTACACTTCCTTTTTGTTCCCAAGGAGGAATTGGACCTAAACATTAGAAAGTTGAAGATTTGAGAAAACACATTTTAAAGTTTAAAAAACAATGCATCTCGAGATTTAGGTGTCACCAATGAAATCAAAATTATTCCGGAAATTAAATAATGAAAATAAAAACAGACCGAAAATGCCATTGTTGTCACCATCATTATCGTGACCGCAAGTCTCATCATCAATGGGTACTTCAACGTCGAAGTCTTTCCCAGCAGATGTAGATGATTTATTTTGCAAATCGTATGGTACTGCTGGACCGTAAACATCTCTGCTGTCCTCTTCATCATCATTTTGAAATTAAATTTAATTATACAATGTAAAAAAACGGCATTATCTACAAAATTTACCAAAAGTTTCTAAAAGCAAGAAAATAAAAAAAAAACAAACTCCTAAATTCGCAACTGTTGGCAGCAGATCTGGCATTGATGGACCAAACACTCTTTTCAACGAATAGTCTGTACTTGAAGAATGCTTTTCTCCAGGTTCCGAAGGAGGTAATAAATTTTCTGTAAAAACAAACTAAATATCAAATAAAACATGGATAGGCTACCGATTATATCAATCATTCCGCTAAATTATTCGTGAGATGAATAAGAGAAAAAATCAAGAATAAGTTCGAAGTTAACTAATAAAGACCAATAATAGAAAAAATAAGAATCCTCGAACGACATTTGTTTTAAAAATGTTAATTGGCACTTTCAAATTCAAGATCCAATTTTTATACAATCAAAATTACCTTGTGAACGCTTCGTTTCCTCTTCGGGAAGCGAAGGTGCGATTATTTCGGCCGAATTTGGCACATTTGGACCAAAAGAAGAAGATTTAGAGGAGGATGACGGCATACTGCTTGACATTGAACATTGAACTGCAAAACTCATGTGTAAAATCTGACAGAATTATATCTGACACAATTATAATAAATATTTAATAACTAAAATTTACTGTTAAAAATTGCTATTTGACAAAAATATAACAATGAACAAAACATGCGCTGATAAATTGTTGCATTTCACATTTACTTACGGAATGAACACATATTTGGCATTGCAGACTGAGAATCACCTTCGTCGGGATCTTCTGGATCCCCAGGATCTTCTGGATCGTCTTCTTCGCTGCTATTCGTAAATCCGGGAGGTAAAGAAGGTCCTAAAGAGATTAGCTTTAGATTAACTCAAACTGATTTTTAATCCCCGGGCTCCCTCAATTCATACTGGAAAAAGAAATGAACCGTATAATTGTTGGCCAGAGGGTGATGTGGTACCAAGTTCGCTCACACTGTTTGGTAACTGATCAAGATATGAAAGTGAATTACTGCTCTGAGTAAGACGTATTTCACCCACATTCACATGAGTTTGTGTCGTTGCTGCATAAAATCCTAAAAATTAATTGTGCATCTCTGAATAATCATAAATGACTAGAAACCAGAAAAAAATTCAATCAGTGTTCCAGTAATAAATTCATTAGAAATTAACCTGGTGAAGCGATAAGATCAAAATTCCTCGAATGACAGTCTTGTTCATCAGTTTCATGATCTGAGCTGCTGTTATAATCTTGCTCTTCCGAACGGTCAAATTCGTCCCATGATGGTCCCTGCATCGTACAATCTGACGGCAAACGAGGCGATGACATTTTCTAAAATGAAATAAAATTTCATTACTTACCTGAACAATTATCAAAACTACTAATGATTACTGTAATCACATTTTTGACGTTACTCAGCTATCTTTGCACTCACAAGTTCATTAAACTTTCTTAATGATTGCTTCCAATTCTTGTGACATTGCTAATTGACCTAGAAGATGTAACCCTATAAGGTCACCACGTCCAAAATTTTTTCATTGTTTGCGTCCACTATTTCAACATTCCAATGAACCCATTCCTTCTCACAACTGAATGTTCCAACTCCATAGGTCCAATGCTGCTTTTCTAGTGTACCTTTCTGTTGAAAAGAGTATTAGAATTTTAGAGTTGGAATATCTGAACTACAGCAAAAAAAGAAATGCGTATAAGTTACGTTAATGTGCATACGGATGGCATTACATGTGTTCGAGATTTTTAGTGAAAAACAGTATTAGAATTAATGATCTGTTACGACTACGCAACATTTTAGTCTAAATTTATAATTAGCAAAGAAAAGTGGATGAAAGGAGGATGCAAAACTCCACAACAACCATGTTGCATAAGTGAACACGTGGGGAAATGCGAGACCTCCGTGCATGGAAAACCATCGCCCCTCTCCGCCACCTCTTAATTCTGGGGGCCGTATGGGATGGCTAGTGAGCTCAGTGCAACAAGGTGCGTCCCACTAAGGATGTTTATAACATTGTTTTGCTTTCAGTCTTTATTATTATTGACTTCTTGTGAATTTTGGCAGAATTCCCCTTCTTCTATCATTTATTCCATGTATAGTCCATACATTTCTCGAGATTTCATCGTTCATTTTAGTATTTTGGATGATTAACGCAGAAAAGCAATTATTCAATTTGCAGAAAAGTTTTTTCGTTGAAATTCTCTTTTAGTGTTTAAGCAATTATTTTTCGAGTTTTGATTTGATTTCTTGTCAATGGATTTATTGCCAATGTATATGAGTCATCTCGATAAAACTATTTTTTTAGTCAGCTTAACCACTCTTTTCTTTAATTTCATGTGATTGCAATTTATATTTTGACAAACCAACAGTCAAAACAAAAAATGAACGAAAATTTGATAATTGGAAAAGAATAGAAAAGAAAAAATATCATGGATAAAGAATAGGTAAGAGAGGATTTGAGTTAAAATTTGTTTACATGACAAAGCATTGCTTAATTTCTCGTCTCGCATTGAGACCTTCAGTTCCTTCCTTTCTCTTGTCTGTTAACCTGCATTGAGAGAAAGAGAACGTTGATGTATATCCACCCAGCTCTTTGTTATATTCCTTTCTTTTGAGATACTTCCGGGATAGAAAGATTCTGTTCACTGTACAACACAATATGATTCATGTAGATATCACACTTTTCCTCTTACCTGCTCGATTCGATCACTGACCTTCACTTCTTTCTTTTCGCTTACCTTTTAATTCGATCGCTGATCTTTCCGAATAGCTCTTTCTCTACTGCCTTACATCGTTTGTTATTTAAAGGTTTTGGTCACTGTTTTTTCATCTATAATTTTTTGAGCAAATTGTAGCATAATGGAGAAATATTATTGTTTAAAAACCGCTATATATCTGTCGTAAGAAGCATTAATTTTTTACATACCACAGACGTGAGATGAATATACGTTTAAGAGATCACTTCCATGAAATTTTCCATGTGTGTTTTGCGCATAAAATTAAACTGCCTCTGCTGTGATGAACCAACCTTATTGCAATAAATTTAGGAAATGAATTCTTTTGAGCAGGTAACTGCTTGAGAAATTAATGAAGATTACAAGAAAGTGATGTCGCTGTATGATGAAGATCATTACAATCCTGAAATATCCAGGTAATAGGATTTCATTTAACTTTTGGTTATCTCTTTTGTTTGAATTTAACGAATTATGTCTAAATTCTTTTTTTGTTAATATCAGTTTTTTATTTTTCGATTATAGATGAAATTTAAAAATTTACTGGAGATGTTTTACTAATACTGTAATTCTTTACTAATACTGTCATTGGAATGTTACTACTTAAATTCACTTTTTCTTGTTTTTATCATTTTTATAGAGATCGATTCAAATTAGATGCAGTTTCGTTGAACAAGCCGCCAGAAGAAGTATTCGATGTTGTCGGAAAACTTGGCGAGGGGTTTGATTTAATATCCGTTTTTTATAATTTTTAAGTCTTTCATAATTGCTTATCAGGAAATAATTATACAGTCATCTTCCTTTTCGTCTTCCACTTTATATTCGACTTGAATTTTTAGATCAAGTGATTAACAGAAAACGCTTGAATAATTATAGTGGCTATACTTGTAAAAGACGAAGTTCTCGCATGCTATAAATTTTTTAATTAAAAGTAATATCGCATGAGAAGCGCAAATTGTCTGAATCTTGAAGAAGCCCTTACATGATCAGTTTAGTAAAATGGCCGTCTAATACACAAAACTTACATTTAGTTCTTTGGTATTTGGCCATTTTATTTCAGATATATCCATTTGCGGTTGTAAAGATATGTTTAAAATATATATGAAGGAAGTAGCAGCTAGAGTGTTAAATGTTTTTAGGATTTTTGCAAACATTCTTCAGATCGTATGGATCAGTGCATAAAGCAGTTCATAAGGAAACGGGACATGTCCTTGCAGTTAAGAAAGTACCTGTGGATACGGATTTACAAGAAATAATTAAGGAAATTAGCATAATGCAACAATGTGACAGTAAATATGTTGTTAAATATTACGGTTCATACTTCAAAAACTCCGATCTTTGGGTAGATACTTTTCATTTTCACATATATGTTTAACTCTAATGTATGGATTTAAATCACGTTGACGAATTTTTTGAACACAGTTGCGAATAATCTTTCATGAGTTTCGCGCTTTTAAGATTGTTATGGAATATTGTGGCGCAGGTTCAATTTCTGATATTATGAGGATTCGTAAAAAAACACTGAATGAAGCAGAAATTGGTGCTGTTACCAGGTGGTTAAATTTTACTTTATTAGCTTTTCTAAATCAATCGAAACGAAGCTTTCCATGTGCATTTTTCAGAGACGTTCTGAAAGGTTTACGTTACTTGCACGATTTAAAGAAGATCCATCGAGATATCAAAGCTGGCAACATATTGCTGAATGCAGAAGGTCATGGAAAATTAGCAGACTTTGGTGTCGCTGGCCAGTTAACGGTGCATTAATTATCATTCCGTAAAATAAAATTCAGAAGAAGAGTGATGAATTAAGAAATCTAAATTTGCATTGTCCTTTGCAGGATACTATGGCCAAAAGAAACACCGTTATTGGAACACCGTTTTGGATGGCACCAGAAGTGATTCAAGAAATTGGCTATGACACAAAAGCTGACATTTGGTCCCTCGGAATCACTGCTATGGAAATGGCGGAAGGTCGTCCACCGCATGCTGATATCCATCCAATGAGGGTTTGTGTTACATGCTTGAAACTGTAGATCTGTTGATTATTTTCGTGGTCATTAAAGATTTCAGATTTCACTAAATAAAAATATATAAGTGACTTCAGTTTGAAAATAAATCATGGAAAATTATATTCACTTATATCTGTGGACGTCATTTTCATAAACTTCAGGCTATTTTCATGATTCCAACAAAGCCACCACCAACATTGAAATGTGAAGCCGACTGGTCATTAGATTTTGTAAATTTTGTTGGTCAATGTTTGATTAAAAATCCTGATGAGAGAAAATCTGCGCATGATTTGCTGGAGGTATGTTGTATATCAAAGACGCAGTTCAAGGCTAAGTTTATGAATACTTCGGTGCATGTTGAAGAACTGGTCAAAAAGGCAAAAGTTAAGGAATTTATATCTCAGGGTATCTGTTATTGTTCTACATCAATTAAACCGATGAAGTACTATTTTTCTTTTGAAAGAGTTAGGACTTAGAAGTCTGGGATCTTTCATACTTATTAACAATTGTTTTAATTGCTGATACTGTATTCAGTAATATTTTCCATGTAATTTTTATGAATATTCTTTTTTTAAGCATCCATTCGTGGTTAATGCACCACCATCAACTGTTTTATTGAACATGATTGATGAAGCTCGGGGCATCACTGATTTTGCTGCTCAAGAAGTACAGGTTTTTTTTAGCATTAACATTCTTTTGTAATCATATTCGCTTAGCAAGATTTTTCATTTTTTGATTAATTTAGGAGCGTATACTGGAAGACACAGGTGACTCTACCATAGTACATGAAAGAATACATGGTGATGAATTCAGTGAAATGGAAGATATGACACTTATACGGCATGATATTCCATCAACACCAACCAACGGTATGTTACGTTGCTTTATTTTTCTGCAATTTAAAACTATACAAGTTTCATTCCGATGCGAACCTTATCTCATTTTAGTTCATGACTCTTCCTATTCATTTTATTCTTACCTATTTTAGTACAAGAAAACTTTGAAGTTGAAGGAAAGTGAACAGGACCTCAAATGTTTCTGTTTTATCTATACTTATACTTACAAAATCTAATTTCAGGTCATTGTTATAAAATGGTGCCTTCAGAAACAATTATGCAGCAGAATTTGGTGCGAATGACTGAAATTCGTTCTCCAGGTGATACAGGTTATGTACATAACCTGCAACAAGCAAATGCAGTAGCTGAAGGAGGTATATTTTGCACCAAAAAAATATTTCGTTAAATTAGGCTTCAGTTAGCTGAACCTTGCTGCATATTGAATTATTGTCTTGGAATGTACGCTGACTCTTTCTGATTCACTAGTAGTTTTGGAAATAAATAAATTTCAATATCTAGTGCCCCTCATACTATTTCAGGAAAGCCATTGGAACTACACAATCATAAGATGCTCTATGTAAACCAAAAATTGGAGGAGCAAAAGCTGGGTCAAATACCTCCGGTGAATGGTGGTGCCCATTGTGGTGATGCCAATATGATGAACGATATTGGTGTACCACAAACATTCTTCAGCACCGATTCTTCTTATGACACTTCATATATTGATCAGCATTTTAACAAAGCATATATAGATGGCGACTACAGTTTTGTTAGTGATTTTTAAATATTGAAAGCAAAAAATATCAAGTCGAATAGATTTAAATATAGTATAAAGATCTTGTGGTGTGACACATTTTTTATTTTCTTGTATGCAAGTTATCTTTTTACTTTCATCGTCCTAACAAATTTATTCCAGAAAATAAACTTCGTTTTTGAAATATTTTCGTTCCGAATATTTTTTTATATTTGCTTTGAAAAGTTCCACAACTTATGAGGTTTTAGCTAGCTGAACTTCCATTAGAAGAATTAGTGCGACGAAAAGCAAATCTAGAAGCTGATATGGATGTAGAATTACGCGAGTTGCAAGCGCGCTATCAAACCAAAAGGCAGCCAATTTTGGATGCGATCGAAAATAAAAAAGCCAAAGTAACTCAGTATTTATAAGGCAGCTTTCTTGCAATTTAGACTGATTATTGCGATCTGTGTTCTTGATAAGTCCTTGATAAGTTTTTCGATCGTGTAATGTTCAGGTTTGTTCCTGTAGCTTCTTATTTTGCCCTTATCTGTTAATATATTTATCTTCAAAAATTGTAATATAGTGATTATAGTGATATATTTTTCTTTTTACTATTGTCTCGGCACCACTGATTTCCATTTATTGACTTTTACATAGTCAGTTATTTGGTTGAAGCTGAGGTCTTCTGTAAAGATGGGGCATGGAAAATAGATGGAATATTCGGTATCTTTAGTATTAGCTTAAGATAGTTAAACAAATTTATGTTTGTATAAAGATAACAAAATCAGTCGGTTCAAATTTTAAGTTCATCTCTTTTGATTACTTTATCATTTCTTTCAACTGTCGGGCTTTGAAATAAGGTATGTTATTATGATATTACTTTTATGATAATTTTTCCATTTGAACATTTTAACATTCTGTATGCTGAAGAGACGGTAAGGAGGAATATAAGTTGAAATATAAGGCTGATTTTTCTGCAGTAAATTTCCTTTCTCCAAAAACATTGTTTTTGCAGCTTCTGATTGTCCCACCCCGGCTAATTTCAGATTTATATTGAGAAAAAAATTGGAAATATTTGTTGCATTGTAAAGTCCTGACTTTTAAGCGTGGAAAATTTTTAGCAGTGTAAAAAGGTTAAAAGTCGCAAAAGTATGACTTTTATGTCATCTTCCTGTCATTTTGGTAAAAATTGTTTAAAAGCTATCCAAGTCTTTATTTCTACAAGATTTTCATGTTACATTCGTTTATATCTTTTGTTAGACCGATAAATTACTCGAATTATTTAAGTTTTTGAATGTTTGTATCATTAAGAATGGAAGGCATTTTATTCTATTTCTTCATCTCAGTTACTATTTATTTAAGTGCATCTTCGGTCCATTTTTTTCATTTCTAACATTAACTGTAATATATGAATATATTGTGTCTAGTCTTTTTCTCAGCATTTCATATCTTTCACTCTGCAGTCTTCCATGTCTTTTTGTCTTTTTGATTACATTATTTCTTATCTTTCGTAGATTACTTTCATTATCTTATTTCCTATCTTTCGTAGATTACTTTCATTACATGATTTTGCTATTTTCTCAAGTTTTCTGAATCCTTATTCTTTCGACGTATCTTTATTCTAAACATAATTAGAAGGTGATAATTGAGCTAATGTCGAAATAAATTAATGAATAATTTGTATGTATGAAAAGAAAAGCTTCGCACTGATTAGTTTCATTACAGTATGTCAAGATTTGAATTGCATTAATTTCTGAATATTTGTAAGGAAAATATGGATTTTATCTTGGTTGTGATTTGTTCTAAGTCTTCGAGACCTATTAGATTACAGGCTGTTTTGAGGCTGTTTGTGCTACATAAAGGAAAGAATATTTTATCCGAATAATTTATTTAGGAATAGCTTTCAAATCGAATATTTTTCAGTCTTTTCCGGGATTGTCCCTCAATTTCTTATTAAAGATCTGATTGTTTTCTGATTGCATTTGGTTGCTTAGTAAGGAATACTTATTTTCTCGTTTTCTTTCTGCAATTTCTTCTATAAACGATGCACCCAGAAATTCCAGTCGAAAGCCGGCTTTATGCTTCAGATTTATTCCAAATATTATATCAAAATTTACAACGAAGAAGTATCATTCACTTTATATGATTGGATTACAGTAGACATAGTCAGAGGAGAGAAATTTCGCGATAAGAGATTTAAGAGATTTGAATCGAGTCGGTTTTTTTGTAATTGACCTCACTTGACGATTCCTATATCAACACTAAAATAATATTTACCTATTCAAACAAATGAAATTTGAAATGATTTTCGCAGTCAGTGATTTTAGAACAAAGTACTTGTAGTGAACACATAGACTATGTTGGATGTATGATATCGTGAATATATAAATTATTAGAACTATATACAGAGAATAAAGTTCCAACCGAGTGAGTTTTTTTTTTTTTTTTGAATTTTAATCCTAATTCAAATCCATGCTTCGGGCCAAATGTCCGTTATAAATATTTGTCCATTACTATATGTATCAGATGGAGCTTTTTTTTGCTCAGATTTGAGTCGGGAATCGTAGATTTTAGAAATTCCGCAGTCTGATGGACAGTACTCGGCAGGATTACCTGAAAAATTAGTATTGTTAAATGAAGAGATGGACTTAAATGTAGGGACAGATAATGTGTGACTGACAATTAAGGGAATTTGATGATCATTAGAGAAATTGGTGAAAGACATGCTGGGACAAGTAATGAGATATTGCAATGTATTAATAATTAATTTACCTGGTTCACCAGGTGGTCCCCATGATCCTTCATCCCCTCTGCGTCCTGGGTTACCATTCGGACCAACCCGACCAGGGCTACCTGGTTTGCCAGGCTTGCCAGGTACCTTTGAGGGTTTTCCTGAT